TTTCCCTTCTGCACACACACACACACACACACACACACACACACACACACACACACACACACACACACACACACACACACAAGCAACTTAAGCCATCTTCCTTTCACCATCTCGTGCCCTCCCTCCTCTCTGGGTCTCGTCTGGTCTCGTGTGTGCGTGACTGTGGCTGGCTGTGGTGAGGGCAAATTAGCACAGCGACCCAGTTTGGTACCAGAAGAGTCAAGACATCAGCGGAAGATATACTGAAAACTCTCCCTTTCCACTGCAAAAACTCACTTTGTGCTCTGACACAAAAAAATACAGGGTATAAAGGAGCACCTCCAGCTGAGGATTATCACAAAGTAAAAGAATTCTATTTTCTCTTCCTTTTCATGTTATTTCCTCCCTTTAAAAGATCCTATCTCCACAACCTCAGAAAAAGTACAGCAGTGTGTTACATTAAAAATGTGGATAAAATCTGTTCCATAAACAAAACATGAACTCACCGTGGGTTTTCCCTCCACCCCTTTCCTCTGCTTTCTTTACTGGGCTCTGTTTTGCATTTCTCTGCTGCTGCTAATTGCCTGCAACTAATTATAGAAGGTCTGTATGTGGCCCTCTGAACCGGACACACACTCACTCACACACACGTGCACACACACACACCGTTTCCTATGCTTTTAAACACATTTTGACAAGTAGCTCTCACTGTGTCGAAGTGAGAGGGGGTTTGCCGCTGGCCTCAGACACAACATAGATTTGTGGGTGTGTGGATGAGTGCGCGTAGATGATGGGAGGAGGAAGGCTAAAAGGAGGGGGATGCTAGCAAACCGGTGTTGCGTGTCTCGTTCGGCTCGTTTAGCTGACAAACTGCTTTTAGCGTTTAATTATCCAGCGCTGTATGATTAATAGATTTTAATTACTGTAACCCAATTGCCACCTGAAATATGTACAGGTCTCTGAATGAGGTCAGCCTATCAAATCCCTGGCAAGGGAAAATCAAAAAGGACAAAACAAACTGAGTGTGAGGGCAAACAATAGCAGATCAAAAATCTTTCCATCTTAAACCTCTCACTTGTTTTTTTTCATCAGTGAATGAAAGAAGAAAAGCGAGCTCGGGCAGACAGGCGGCTGTTTTCATCAGTATTTACCTCCTTGAGGAAAATGTTAGACCTCTGAAAGGCTTTTGACCAGACCTTGAACTTTTTCGTTTCATTTAAAATTTTCTTTACATGATCTGCAGCCGGAGCTTCAAAGAGACTTTTTGATTCGTTAGAAAGGTTAGAACCTTTCCACATTCGTGCGTTGCTTCTAAGGCTCTTTGCATTCTGCACACACGCTGCTGCTGATGCTCCGAGGAAATGTTCATATAGCTAATTTACTGTGGAACTGCAATGCGTGCACAATCATTTTCCTAATCAGAAGACTGAATAGCACTGATAATTTAAAAAGCGATCTGAAATCTATTAGTAGTTACTTTGTAACTGAAGCTGCCTTTTACACAATTACTTTGTCTCCATTGCCAACGTTGAGCCCAAACAGCACTTATGGAGTTTAGTGTTGACGACCTTGAAGTAGGGTTTGTCCCAGCTGACGGGAAACTAGTGACAATTCCAGTTAAATGAGGCAGTGCACGATGAGTTGTTGGTTTATCAGACATGGTGCTGTGAAAAGAACCAAGTGCCAGCTCCAGGTCTGACAAATGAACCTAAAAACTGCAGTGCTTCTGATGACTCCAAAAGAAAGTCCGTTCCCATAGATTCCCAAGTTACTTTTGATCATTACAAGCATATTTACACCCTATAGTTTCCACATTCATACAAACTGTAGATTAAAGTTTTCTAACAGCTCATCCATAAGGATTAAAGTTTTGAAATGAGCTCAGCATAAAAGGTGTCAGACTACCGTGAACATGCAATCAGAGCATGAAAGAAAGTAACAGTAGCGAGTAGAGTGAGATTTTACTCAATTCTTCATTGGCTCATGTATAGTAGATATATTGGATAATAGTTACATTGTATAGTTCTAAAGTTCATATCCCTTAGTAACAATGGTTAATATGTAATAAACTGGCAGGTTACTACATTTCAGTTAACTATCATTTACTGTACACAATCACTAGAAAAATTCTTAATGGTAACCATTAACATTTGTGCTTGCTCTAGTGTTTATGAAACATGTAAATAGTTAATAAACTGGAATGAATTTGATAAAATTGTAAAGGATACATATAATACCTTTAATATATGTACAACAATTAAAGAGCACATTCTAAGTAGGCAGGTAGGGTGGAGTGTAGTCGTGGTGGTCTGGGTAGCTCACTGGCATTTTTCTTTCACTTCAACTTTAAGCTGATCAAGTTTAGTTCAAATTACATTCTTTGATAATGAAACCTTGAATAGAAATTGAATAAAAAGTAATGCACTCATGTCCTGTATGCTAATTAATCTTTAGTTTAACAACAAAACTTGAAGCAAAGTCGTTTTCCATTAAAATCACATACCACAAATTCAGACATACAGATTAAATTGGTCAGTTGTGACACCGTGCAATAGGGTGTAACATTTAAGATAACTTTAAAGAAAAAATGTGATGCGTGTTCATAACATGCAATGTGTTTGCCTTTGCACTATCAGAGCATCGATTATTACTCAAGACCAGTGTTGGTCAAGTTACTTGAAAAAAGTAATCAGTAACTAATTACTGATTACTTCCCCAAACAAGTAATCCCATTACTTTACCGATTACTCATTTTCAAAAGTAATTAATTACTTAGTTACTTAGTTACTTTTTAAAAACACGATTTACAACCTGAAGAGGTGATAAAGCGATAGAGCTTTCAGCCCAATTCTACCTTTTCTGCATAATCCATCATACAAAATGTAATCAAATGGAAAATTATCTCTTTTTTTAACTTGTTTTATCAGTTTTAATCTTTTAACTTTATGCATCAAGCAAAAATTTAATTATATGCAACATTCTCTGACTTGAATAAATGAGTTTAACATTTAAACCTATTTTCTGCACATTCCAGCACATAAAATAAAATATTTTTTGTGTTTGCACTCAGTCTTTCAAATAGTTGCAAGTAAAACACAGCAGAACATAAATAAAGTCAAAGACTCAGCGGTCCTGTTGCTCTATTTTCACCTGTAAAGCAGGACTGGGGGTAGGCGGAGGTTTACCCTGGTGCAGGTGTGCCGCGGTCAGTTGAAGAATCCGTGAGTTTCTCTGTGAATTTCCCATCACGTCGTTGCGCACTCGGTGCTTGTTTAGAGGTTTTGTTCGCTGTAAAAAGAAGTTTTCTTCCCACGCACAACGGACGCTAATGTTTTGGTCACTTTTTATGGAATCAAACTCAAAGTAAGGTCAGTACATCCACGCTTTAAACGCTGCACGCTCATACTCTCTCCTGCACTCGATATATGATGCACTGTTGATCTGCACACAGCTGTTGTCACTAACGGTGCACTCGCTTACGTCACTGTCGTGAGACATTCTCGCAAAAAAATCACGGTTTTAGTAACGCAGTAACGCAGCGTTCCTACGGGAAAGTAACGGTAATCTAATTACCGTTTTTGCAATAGTAATCCCTTACTTTACTCGTTACTTGAAAAAAGTAATCAGATTACAGTAACGCGTTACAAGTAATGCATTACTGCCCATCTCTGCTCAAGACACCCAAACAGTAGATGTGAACCTGTTCTTCGCCTGTTGACATCACATGTGCAAGCACGAGAAATAAAAGTCGAATAAAAAGCAAAACACCTGGAAACCAGCAGCAAAGTAAAAACCACGAGCTAATGGCAAACTGCCATGTTTTATAACCCACTTCATCAGGTTTAAAGTGCACAGCCCCTGCTGAGCAACAGTTCACCTCTCTCTGATTAACTTTGTTCACCTCCAGCTCTCTCTGGAGAGTTAACAGTGTGGGTCACCCTCATCTCGCCGTCCACCATCTCATCCTAACGCAACAATTCCCCTCGAATACTCTCTGTTTTTGCAGCATTTGAGCATTCTGTGGTCTGTTAAATGGATTTCCAGTTTTTGTTCAGGAACAATAGCAAAGGTTTTAAGTTGACAGTTTTTATATGGAAGTACAAAAAATATACTTCTTACCATGGATACTATGACTGCACAGTTAAATAGATCTCTTTGTAAAGTAATTCCTTAATGGTTCCCACAGTTGGCACATGTCATGAAGGCTGACCTATAACTGAAACCTTGAATGCATGTTAACCTTTCCTAGGTCGCTGTTTAAGATTAGGGTTAGGTTCAAATCTCTCCCTTTATACCCAGAGAGAAACTGTGCAGCCAAAATTCATGTCAGAAATCATATTTCAACTCTAACATCTTCCAGGTTTGAAAACTTGCCGTTTATCACGAGGTAAAATGCAGCATAACAGAACCTTCCAGGTACAGTTATCGGTGTCTCATGAGGCAGGCTGTCTACTAATTGGAAAGTTGGTGGTTTGATCCCTGGGTTCCACATGTTGAAGTATCCTCAGGCCAAATACTGAACCCTAAGTTACCCCGGAGTGGGTTTACTGGAGTTCACTGGAGTGTGAGTCTGTGTGTACATGTATGAATGTGTGTGTGAATGGTTGAATGAGACTTGTGACTTGTGAAAGTGCTTTGAGTCCTCAGATAGAGTAAAGCAGTTCTACATAAGCAGCAATCCATTAACCATTTATCTAAGGTTAGGGTTGAGTTTTTAGCTTTTGCTAAATTGGCTAAGAGTTGGAAACTATCAGATCAATTTGGTGAATAGGCTTTTTTTTATTAAAGAAAATATAAACAGTGTCTGATGCCCTTCACTTAGAATGGTCATTTTCTTTGTTCCCTGATTTTCAAAACATGAAATAAGGAATAAAATATTTTAAAAATGACACACTATGATTGCTCAGAGCAGCAGCTTTGCCTCCACTGCAAAGCTCCAAATATAAATACTACCAAACCAAAAGTGCAAACACACCATGCACCGTAAAGACCTATCGTCAGTGGACTCATTGTAGACTTACCTATGCAGGAGTCCCTGTGCTCCTCAAATCCAGCCGAGCACACGCACCTCCCGATGGGCACCAGCCATTCCCCCTCTGCACTGCAGTACATTTTGGGTGTGTCCCTCTCCTCAGCGTGATCCACACACTGACCTCTGACCTCTACCAGAGATGATGAGTCAGCCCCCGTGACCACGTCAGTGAACACAGCCAGGTTACGGTTCACGCCCACACAGCGTTTGTAGTACACCCTCACCGAGGTGAGGGCAATGCAGGCGCCGATGTCCTGGAAGGCCAGGTAAAAGCCCCGCCTATTGAGAGGGCCCACACCGCGCACCTGTAAGAAGACAGGACAAGCAATTTTTCTTAAAAGGCAGGATGCTCTTAATTTTGCAGGAACTTTCCTGTGCACAATTTAAAGCCCAAAGTGTACATGAGCATGCATGTAGTAACTTTCTAGAGTTTAGAAAGTTGTTTTATTTATTTATTTATTTTTCATAAAACATAAACAGTGGTTGATACAGAGGTTTCTTAACAAAACAGGTGGAACAGTATGAATGCAGCTGTAATTTAATCTCTGGACCCGTGTTTGGTGTTTTGCTTTGGCAGCAGTCATTAATCAACTGCTGTGCTTCCGACCACAATGAGCAAACAGATGATTTTACATTTTTATATGCTTGTTTTTCATAAGATATCACATCACAGTTGACTATTGTTAACACCAAGGAGCTAATTTACAACATTATTTTAAAAGTTTGCAGCAAAAGCATCTAAAAATAGGCAAAAACCTTGTTCTTAATAGTAGACAGATAGAAGACTGGCCACCCCCTCAGTTTGTATACTCTGAAACAAGCTGGGGTGGCACCTTTCCCTTCAAAGCCACTTACACTTTTTTTTTTTTAGATTGGTTGCTTCTCACAAACATAAGGTTTGTACAACATGTGGCTCGTTAACAGTTTGCTCGTTAACGTGTTGACGCCGTCTAGCCCCATGCACGGGGCAATCCGTGGTAGCTCGTTAACGGAGATTTGCCGTGTTGTGGCGTTAACATCATTTCAGATTAACGCTGACAGCACTAGTGGGAACAAAATGAACATGACTTCACATTTACGCCGACATCATCCTAGTGCAAAGACAAGTGGAAGCAGACAAAAACAACAAGCACGCATGCTACAAACTTTACCCGAGTTATTTAGACAGCCTTTAGCACATGATTCTCCTTATTGGTACCTGATATGTTTAATATGCTGCTAGAATATAGCTCAGAAGAAGCGTATAGTATAGCTTTTATTTTGGAAAGAGCCATTTCTCTGTAATAAACTCTCTTTTCCAAAGATGAGTGATTTCTCGATCAGAGAGATTTTTTATTACTTTGTTGTTTCAGCAACATTAAATTTAAAAACTGTACTTTTGAGTTAAAATATATATTTATAATTTTAATAAATGACAAATTAAAAAAGCATGAACATTTTTTTCATCGAAAAGATATCGAACCGAATATATATATATATATATATATATATATATATATATATATATATATATATTAGGGGTGCAACGATATTCGTATCGATATTGAACCGTTCGATACAGTGCTTTCGGTTCGGTACGCATATGTATCGAACAATACAAAATTTGAAATTTATTTTATCAACTTTCCTTCTGACGATGCTGTCTGTGTTGAGCGCTCAGTGAATCTGCGTTCGACTACTCCGCCTAGGGTCGACAGTGCAGCCTAGGCGGAGTAGTCGAACGCAGATTCACTGAGCGCTCAACACAGACAGCATCGTCAGAAGGAAGAGCGCAGGGCAAGCTAGCGAGACAGAAGTTAAGCTCTCCTTACAACATGGACCTCCCCCACTCTCATTCAGATCTGGCGTTTGGAATTATTTTGGTTTTCATGTGACGTATGACCCTGAAGGTAAGCGAGTCATGGACTAAAGTAAAACAGTATGTTGGATGTGCCATGCAATGCTCAATTACATGGGTGGGAGCTAGTGTGTTAGCGCAGTTAGCTTGTTAACGTGTTGGCCGTCTAGCCCCATGCACGGGGCGATCGGCGGTAGCTCGTTAACGGAGATTTGCCGTGTTGTGGCGTTAAGGTCATTTCAACGAGATTAACCTGAAAGCACTAGTGGGAACACAACGAATATGACTGCACATTTACGCCGACATCATCCTAGTGCAAAGACAAAAACAACAAGCATGCTACTAACTTTAGCCGAGTCATTTAGACAGCTGTTTAATATGCTGCTGAGAATATAGCCCAGAAGAAGCGGATAGTATAGCTTTTATTTTGGAAAGAGACATTTCTCTGTAATAAACTCTCTTTTCCAAAGATGAGTGATTCCTCAATCAGATACAGGGCTCGCAATATCGCTAGCCCAACGTCCCAGGGCTAGCGTTTTTTTCAGTCGGGGTACCAAAATCTATCTCTGCCCTGCCCGTCGGGCTATTGTACGAAAAATATATGTCAATGCTTTTGCATTCTTTCGGAAATGTAGCTGGGTAATTATGTCATTGGCATCGGTGAGCCACTGTCAATATGTGACATATTGAAATCGCGTTTGAATTTGCGCTTGTTTTCTTGCTTTCACTTTGCAATCGAGCGAACTGTGTATAGAGAGCGACAGCACTGATTGGTGAGTGATGATAATTTGCGCACCAATTCCTCTGACATCGTCTTATTAATCGTTAGCTTACTATGCAAACATGACAAGTGAAATCTCCCGCAGCAAGCTTAAACATGTGAGAGGTTGATCGCGCAGAGAATCGCTGAGCTTATGTGAGTCCGTGTGTAAAAGCAGCAGGATATATATTTCAGTTCTGCTGAGCCAAATAAGACAGGTCAGGGTGAAGAAGTGACAGCCAAAGAAAAGCTTACCACAAAACGGAGAAGTTATGACAAATCAGATTATAAGGCAAAAAGAAAGTGCAGCTTTATGGTTTCATGGACAAAAGAATTTCTGTGGCTGCAATATGACGAGCTAAATAACCAGGGCTGCACATAAGTGGTCCGCAGGTGCGCATTCGCTGTCAAAATAAAAAACACGCACAAGGGTTAGGGTTAAATTTAAAAACTGTACTTTTGAGTTAAAATATATATTTATAAGTTTAATAAATGACAAATTAAAAAGGCATGAACATTTTTTTGTATCGAAAAAATATTGAACCGTGACACCAAAGTATCGAACCGAACCGAACCGTGAATTTTGTGTATCGTTGCACCCCTAATAAATAAATAAATATATATATATATATATATATATATATATATATATATATATATATATATATATATATATATATATATATATCTTAATTAATGTTAATGTTGGTGGCATCAGTTAAACAATGGACCTTGAGCCAGCACAACCGAGCCAGCAGTGCACGGACAGGAATGCATTTCTTACTTGAAAATTCTGACACCACTTCATATTTCACTAGCTGGGCCAACGTCCTCATTTTAGGTTTAACAGCGTTTTAGTAGGTAAAAGTGAACGCTTTGACATGAATTGAGCTACGGTTTGGGGAAGGCCTCGAAGGGGACTGCCGATGGCTCCCGGGCCTGGCAGAGCCCCATGCATGAAATAGAAATGAAGAAGTTAAAGAATTGAGAACAAGGACGGAGGGAAGGTGGGGCATGTAAACGAGAATGAACAGCTTTCAGAACTGGGGGAACCTACATAGATGACAACTGGAAGGTGAGTATTTGGAGGCGTGGTCCTGCTCCTGGTCCTGCTCCTGAAATTCCGATAGATAATCTCCAATTAAAGAAGAAAGGGACGGGCGAAATCTGATTGTACAACCAAGCTGCTCTCAGAGTCAAAAGACTCCACCTCAAACCTAAAGAAACATCTGGAAGTAAGTTCTTGTTTAAAAAGTAACATTAGCCTACTGCAAGTACCTTGTTTTAGTTGTGGTAGCTATCTGGGTTATGTGCCACTTCAGTATCTCCGATGTATTATTGCTGTGTGATTTATTACTATTACTGAAGGGTACTCACCACCGAGCTAACACTGTTAGCTGACGTTAGCTGAGGTTAGTTTTGTAGTGGAATACTGCTGGAAATGGATAGAACATTGGTGTACTCGGACACTTATTCAAATTCTTATACTAATGCAAGAATGTAATCACATTGTTTATCATAGAGAAAGTGAGATTTTTTTATGTCCCAGCTATGCCACCTAATTGGCTGGCATGGTGTTAGCTTATAACCAGCTGTTGTTGTTTAGCTGGCTCACTGTCAGGTGTCCAGAGACAGGAGGTTTGCATGTCTAATAAACTGAAAGAGCTATTGATTATAAGCTATACTACATATGTGGCTGGTCTCTAGCTACAGACATAAAACACGGTGGATGGCGCCATGTTTGGCGATGGCGATGTCCATCTCAGCCACTGTATTCAATATGACGGGGAAACATGGCAGCCTCCACAAACCTGCACTCGCTCTTGATTATTTTTAATGGATTAATTCTACATTCATGAGAACGCATTAGCTCAATTTTCATTTTTTCTATTAAGCAACCTCAAAACTGACTTATTGTGCCTTTAAAAGGGACATGTCTAAATGCTGAAAAACCATCACTGCTGCACAACCAGTAGCTTTGTTTGCACACCTAATTGATGAATTAAATATGCATTTCACCATCAAACAAACTCATCAAGCTTATGATGCATCAACACTGTTTGCTAATTAGTCAGCTAATTATGAGTTTTGCTGCTCTTTCCAGGTTATCTTTCCAGGGCTGCTTCTGTAGCTTTCTTGTAAGAATTAAACATGTGCTGTGCAATCATGGATCAGCATTTGTCATGAGGCAAAAATTATAATTTTCCTGTGTGCTAATCCTCCCCACTTAAACATAGATGCACATTAAGTGATCAAGTGATCGTTTACTCCTCACCTTACACAAGTCTAGGATGGTTCATAGAGGGGATCGGGCGTTTGCGGTTGTGGCGCCGAAAATGTGGAATGATCTACCTCTCCACATTAGAAAGGTCCCAACTGTCACTCTTTTTAAATCCCATCTTAAAACATATTTTTTCACTTTGGCTTTAGATACTGCATGAGAGTTACTAATTATTTTTATCCTAATTTTCTTTGAATTTTCTTACCTGTTGTTGATGTTAATGTTATTATTTAATTATTACTTTGTACAGCACTTTGGTCAACTCTCTGTTGTTATTAAATGTGCTGTATAAATAAAAAAAATAAAAAAAAAATATAAAATTACTTCTTTGGATTCATTTGTGAAAGTCACAGATTCTCTACAATATATATCATTAAGTATAATTATTATAATGTAATTCATTTATTTTTAATGATCTAGTAACAATATTATTGGCCACAATAATATTTGTAAAAATAAAAATTAATATCTACATGAAAAAAGAAACTGAATTTAAATACTCTAATTAAATATTTCTTTTAATCTTTTTCCTGCTGCAAGGTGATATGGTGAGATGACCTGAAACAAGGCAAAAATTCAGCTTTAAATTTCTAAATCTAAGATATAAAAAGACTACAGTTCCTGTTGTGGAACTTCATACACACTCCACTGTTCTGAATCCTAACCTCAGTCATGAAAATGACATGTTTACACCCAGATAGAAAAAAACATTTGGGCCTGTTATAAGCTTCATATAAAAATTATAGCTAAAGCTCTTTCTGATAGCTAATTTTGAGGCTAAGTCACACCACACTACTGGCTCTCTCAGCTGTGTTAATGTGGTTGTTATATGGCCTTCTAAGATAAGATAAGATAAGATAAGATAAGATAAGATAAGATAGGACTTTATTAATCCCTCGGGTGGGTTCCTCTGGGAAATTCGACTTCCAAAAAAAGCACAGCAACGACCGAAGTTACAGTTACAGAACTGTTATATATATATATATATATATATATACACACACACACACACACACACACACACACACACATATATAAATACAGAGACAAATATAAATAAAATATACAAAGGGGATAAATAGAATAAATAGGAATAAAAAATAAAAATACAAGTGAATTGCACATTTCAAGTATTGAATCTATTGCACTGTTGACTATTTACAAAAAGTATTGCACAAGGTATTGTACAGTGAGGTGAAGAGGCACTACAGCTTAGTTGTTCCCCCCTCCTTTGTCCTCCTGTTTCCCCTCCCTCTCCCCTCCAGAGAGGAGTTAAACAGTCTATGAGACTGTTCTATGAGACTCAGAAAAGGCTTCAGTATTGCTGAGTAACATTCTGTTTGTATTAGTACAATTAGAACACTGTATTGCATTTATACAATGGTTTCATGAAGCTTGCTAACCCAGCTTGCTAGCGTTAGCTGATAACTAAGTAAATGTCCTAATACTGATTGTTCTGCTTCCAACAGAGTTAGGTATCAATAATAGTGTAGTACCACTATCCTATATCAAATTTGAAGCTGTTGTCAATATCAAATCACATCTGAAAACACTGAGCCAAGTGCTGCTATTTGTTTTCTCTCACAGCTGTGCAGACGCGAGCTCAAAACAGTTTGAGTGACGTGACTGGAAGAGGCTCTGCTGTGGATGTGGATGCTAACTTACAATCCAACGTGAGATTTTGCTTTGAAAGCCTGGACTGACATTCACCTGTAGTATTGCTGAGTTACTCGTACCTCTGTGTTGAGTTTGAGTCGTCTGACTCCCAGGTCCACCCCTGTGAAGCTCTCGTCAGCAGCGATGGTGTCAATCTTAATGAACTGGTTCTCCCGTATGGCTGAGCCCACCGCTCTGTCAGACTCGTAGTAGTACAGGTTGAAAGTTTCCTGCAGAACAAATATGGTGTCATAAGTACTGCACACTTGTTCATCATATTACAATATCAGAGGTATGTTGGAACCATATCTCCATGCTTTGCAAAAGCCAAAATACTGATGTAAGGTTCACATAGTCTGTCATTTTCCCTCCCAAAGGTGGCATTTGGAAACACTTTCTACAAATAATGTAGTCTTTTCAGTTCCTCTAAAATTTGTTATTTTCCCTCCCAATGCAAGATGCTATCACCACCACAGTAATTCAAAAATGTTGTTCTTATCTTGTTCTATTACCAGTCCAAAAGTCAAGTTAAGGACTCATGTACATAAACAAGTTTGTCAAGTCTTGCTAGCATTGGAGCACTTTTGTGTTGAGAACTTCTTGTTGATAAATAACTAAGATTTAATAAGTAAAATTTGACTATCAGTGTTTATTTTATTAGCATCATTTTGAGTAAACTTCACAATAGTCCCATTGTTACTTCTGGTTAGCTTCCTAGCTATGGCAAAGCTTTCATAAGTCTATATTTAGGTCATTCAATGAAGTAACAACACAGCCTCAGAGCTGCAGCTGGTTCTCATTTTCTCAGGTTTCGGATGGTCATAATTAGTGTTGTGATGAAAAATGCTTTAATTTTAGCACATAAGACAGACCACCAGATGGCAAATGTTTGATACCATTACTCTGAGTTGACATAATACTCAGAATAATGAGCATACTCATTACAGTGAACACAAGTTACTCTGTGTGCATTTTCTTTGCCAGCTTTAGTCAACAAATGTTGGACTTCATGCCCCCCCCCTCCCTTCCAGTCTGTCTGTTACCTTGCAGGTGCCCAGTACTCCAGGCATGCTGTTACAGTCTCTCAGGGTGAACTTGACCTCGATGTAGATCCTCCTGGCTCCTTCCCGAGGGATCCAGCCTGTCACCAGCCAATTGTTCTGGCTCGGGCTCATCACGTTACAGACCTAATTCAGAGGAAGATCTGTTGTCATTTCACAGCTTCTATTGGGAACATGTACATAAAAGTCATTTGCCTTAACATTAGTTTAGAATAAAATAAATAAATAAATAAGAATATTTCCACATAAGAATTTTAAATGGGGAATAAAAAATGATTATTTTTATTGCTAGCTCTGGCAGGCAATTTTCTAATTTAATTTGTTAATGTTAATTAATATTTAAGAGCAAATAATTAGTATTTAAGTAAGCAAATTGTTGAAATTTTTCATTTTAATAAGTAAACTCTAAAGTAAAGTGTTTATAAACTACACAAATGTCGCACATATATTTGCATTTCGTTATTCTTTTCTCAATTTGAATTAATTTCATTAGCTGGGACCACGTCCGTCCGGCCCCATTACACCATTCAGGTAAGACTTTCAGAAAAAAACTGTGATGTGAGTTGAACGATGGAGAAAAACAAACAAAAAAACAAAAAATAGTCCCTATATTATTTAAAATATTATTTAACAACATCTAGAAGTCCAGGACTGGTCACTTAACACCAGACCTTTTGATGTAAAACATCTCGGCATCTACAGTTACGGCTGCAACAGTTTGGCTCAAAGTGGCTGTTCCTGCAGTCATGATGGGATTGCTCAGATTTAGCCAGTATATAGAAGTCAACTCAGAAAAAAATAATTCTATCAATATCTTTGTCGAATAAATGATTGTATAAGCTGATTTCTCTTATTGTTCGAGTATAATAGCTTTATCTATGGGAACTGTTTTATAAACAATAAAGTGTCCAACTATGTCAGGACATGGAATATCAGCCCTACTGATATACTTTCCTAGGATTTCATTGGATGTTTTTGTGAGTTAAAGACGATGAATGAAGACAAATACATGTCAAAGTTCCATCTGTCAAAATCATTCAGGTGCAGACTGAAAACTTACAGATAAGTTAAAATTTTTCAACTTTGGTACATAATGAGGAATTGTAATTTTTGCAGTATTAGTAGTGCACCATCTATATAACCTAATAAAATAAAGAACTGATTTATGATTAATTAATTCACAGTTTGTGTTTTAAAATCAAACTTAATTTAGATGGAAAAATCCCAGTTTCCCCAGGATCAAGGTAAAGGTCTTATAACAGTTAATCCTAACACACTCAGCCCCACAGTACAATACAAACATTACACACCTGGTATGTGTGGATAGGACTGAAGTACTCGTCCATCTCATTAATGGCATCCCACTGTGGAAAGAGAGAGCACGACAGAGAAGCAAACATTCTCAGGTTAGTCAGACGTTCCTGCATTTCTCAGATTCATAGTTTCTATTTCCTATATGATCATGCATTCTTTTGTGATCATTAGTTTTGACATCAAATAAAACATGAGGCGAGTGCCGTCACAGAGGCGGCAGTCAAGCAGCAGATGCGTCATGTGCTGTATATGAATCTCAGAGAATGTGAAGAGCAAGGTCTCAGTTTCCAGATGATTGGTGGTGATTTCAAACCTCATTATCTTGTGCGTGTGTTGGAGTGACAAATGTTTGCCAGTCAGAAAAACCTGACCTTCACATTCTTTTTCTCTGAAAAGCATCTTTTTTCTCGTTTTTAATCTGTTAAACTTAAGATTTTAGATGCTGATTCATTCCACCTGATCGTGCTGGTGCACAATACACACATGCGATCACAAGATCTACATTTCAGCATTGTTGGAATTCACTTTATGGAATTCCGATGGGGAGCATTTCCTTTAATGTAATCCGCCTCATGTACATGCATGTGATCTGATTTACACTGTTTACTGAATACCGTTGGTGGGTAATTATAGCATTACAGGAGGAATAGTAAGTGCAATGCTTTGGTATTTCCAAAAGTGCTTATGTGTGTTACACTTCCTTGCATCTACATTCAGCCTTAGATAGAAAGTCAATCACAGGAAGCCCCTTTCACTCCTTTCCTGTATGGAGGAGGCAGATATACAGTACCTGTCAGCTGAACTCCTAAATTCGTCTATCTACAGATACCCAGAAAATGTTCAGTTTTTATGAAGTACAATAAACAAGAATATTAAGTTCAAAATCATGTATTTAAATGCACCATTGGGCACTGTTCTGCATCTTTCCAAGAAGAGGCCTCTGCCTTACTAAACATACCGCTCAGACTATTTTTGTATTCACAAGCACAACAAATGTAAACGAGCCATTTTAATTAGCATCCATTTGCATTTCATTTCACATGCAGATATGCCTGAAACTGTATAGCTGGTTGACTGTCAAATCCCACATTTTTAGTCAAATTAGTCAATGTGAGGGTCTAGAATCAGATTTCAGTGTAGGGTGAAAGTCCAATTCACCTGACTTTATGATAATGATGAGTGTACAGGTAAAATACACTTTACAATACTTCATAAGCAGCTAAAGAGAACAGAGACACCCAAAGCACATATATAAGGCATTGGTACACTTTTATTTACAAAGCTATGCTTGGATTGCTGCCTCCTTATATTTGTACTTTGCTCACAAGGACAAATAGTGGTTCTTACTCCTTGCGTTCAAATGATCAGCTGCTGCTGTCTGTTCCCCTTGCCCGCACAGAGCTGGGTAAGAAAGCCTTTGTCCACTCTGCGCCTTTTTCGTGGAATCTGTTACAGAAAGACTGGAAACTGACTGAACTGTTGTCTTTAAATGTTTTTAAAACTAAACTCAAAGGCCTACAGACTGCCTCAATAATGTGTAATTGTTTTGTGTAATTTTAACTTTGTTTGTTCGTATGTATTTGTTTTGAAATGTGCTGCCTCTTGGCCAGGACTCCCTTGAAAAAGAGGTTTTTGATCTCAACGGGACATTCCTGGTTAAATAAAGGCAGTGTTGGGAAGGTTACTTTTAAAATGTATTCCATTACAGAATACAGAATACATGCCCCAAAATGTATCCTGTAACGTATTCCGTTACGTTACTCAATGACAGTAACGTATTCTGAATACTTTGGATTACTTAATATATTATCGTGCTTTTTACAACAACGTGAATGTACTATTGTTGTGTGATTTATTACTATTACTGAAGGTCCGCGACTCCGAACTGTAGTAAAGGGACCTCTGACTAATACGGCGGGGTCCCTGTCAGCTCGTAGCCGAAAAATAGCTTTACTTTGTTGTCTGGGTCAACTTTTCTTGCGAGAGACAGAGAGAGGCGTTGAAAGGCTGCTCCAACGGAACTTATTGTTTCGGAGGAAAACACGAACACGGTGTACAGTCGAGTCTTAATAGCTTACTTATAACTGGGCTCGTCAGGCACTCTTCTTGGCTGCAGTGGTTATTATTATATTTACATGCTTCCAGCTCCCGTTTTTGCTTGATGACAACTCGTAGTTTTCCACTCCCCTTTTTCTCCCTCCTGGCGCTCACAGACCCATAACGTGTATGGCAGTCCATTCTCCCTGCAGCACGGACTACACTGCCCATGATGCTACATTCTTTAGAGCTATGCTTGTAGCATTCTGCCTGTTAGCTTAGCACAACAACAACGAAATGGCGCTCTCTCACCCAGGAAACACACAGTCGCAGAGAGAGAGAGAGCGTCGCCCTGTAACCATGGCAACCATAACGCTGCCGCCTGGAACAACAGAACGTAGCTGTCAAACAAACCCAAACAGTCCTGACCCGGGACAATATGAAACAGGGAAGTACCGCAGTGCAATCCATTTATTTCAACAAAGTAACTGTATTCTAAATACCACCTTTTTAAACGGTAACTGTAACGGAATACAGTTACTCATATTTTGTATTTTAAATACGTAACGGCGGTACATGTATTCCGTTACTCCCCAACACTGAATAAAGGTTAAATAAAAATTAAATAAAAAATATAGTCACCTCTGGACATCCATCCTGTAGCTAGCGACAAGTTCATAGTTAGGGTTAGATTTACATTTACCCCCAATATGGAGTTTTTAAATTTTGGCTTACCAAAAGGGAACTCTTATAAAAAGTAGGACTGTAAGACCAATTTAACATTTAGTTACATTTTAAAATTTTACAGGTGGCTGTAGCTCAGGAGGTAGCGCAGGTCATCTACTGATTGGAAGGTTGCTGGATCGATCCCTAGCTCCTCCAGTCTGCATGCCAAGTATCCTTAGGCAAGGTACTAACCCCAAATAAGAGTCTAAATGTGTATGAATGAATTAGGAAGCACTAAGAAGCTTAAAAGACAGTGCTTGTGTGATTGGATATATGTGGCATGTTGTATAGTGTACTCCAGGCGAGTAGAAGAGAGCTATACATGGATCAGCCTGTTCACCATTTAGTCTCTGTATTTTACCATGTATCTAAAATGATAAGATAAGATAAGATAAGATAACCTTTATTAGTCCCACACATGGGAAATTTGTTTTGTCACAGCAGGAAGTGGACAGTGCAAAAGTTATGACGCAAAAATTAGAATACAATAAGAATAAATACAGTACACAGCTGTACAGAATAGAATAAAATAATATACTATATACAGTAGAATAAAATAGAATAAAAATATACAATAAGATAAAAATAGAATACGAATGCTATATACAACTGAGTAAAAATACAACGATGCCAGAAAAGATTATTGCACTTAGTGTTATTGCACATGTGTGGATGTGTGTGCTTGTTCAGTTAAAGTCTTTGTTGTGGAGTCTGACAGCAGTGGGGAGGAAAGACCTGCGAAATCTCTCCGTCCCACACCGTGGGTGCCGCAGTCTGCCACTAAAGGAGCTGCTCAGTGCTGTCACAGTCTGCTGCATGGGGTGGGAGACGTTGTCCAACAGGGATGACAGCTTAGCCGCCATTCTCCTGTCACTCACCACCTCCACTGGGTCCAGAGGGCATCCTAGAACAGAACTGGCCCTTCGGATCACCCTGTTCAGTCTCTTCCTGTCCCCAGCAGAGATGCTGCTGCCCCAGCAGACCACACCATAAAAGATAGCAGAAGCCACAACAGAGTCATAGAATTTCTTCAGGAGTGGGCCCTCCACCCCAAACGACCTGAGTCTACGCAGCCTGCTCTGCCCTTTCCTGTAGAGGGCGTCTGAGTTATGAGTCCAGTCCAGTCTATTGTTCAGATGAACACCAAGGTACCTGTAGCTGTCCACAGCCTCAATGTCCATACCTTGGATGTTCAGTGGTTGCAGTGGAGAATGCTTGTGCCTGCGGAAGTCTACCACCAGTTCCTTGGTTTTACTGGCATTGATCTGGAGGTAGTTCAGCTGGCACCAGTCCACAAAGTCTTGAGTCAGTCCTCTGTACTCCTTGTCGTCCCCATCAGTGATGAGGCCGACTATTGCAGAGTCATCAGAGAACTTCTGCAGGAAGCACTGGGTGGAATTGTGGGAGAAGTCTACAGTGTAGATGGTGAAGAGGAATGGAGCCAGAACCGTTCCCTGTGGGGCCCCCGTACTGCAGACGACCCTGTCCGACACACAGCCCTGAGTCCTCACATACGGTGGTCGGTCGGTGAGGTAGTCCAAAATCCAGGTAGTGAGGTGATGGTCCACTCCAGAGTTCTCCAGCTTGTCCTTCAGAACCGAGGGAAGAATGGTGTTGAAGGCACTGGAGAAATCAAAGAACATGATTCTCACAGTGCTTCCAGCGGTCTCCAGGTGAGCGAGGGAACGATGTAGGAGGTGAATGACGGCATCATCCGCTCCAATGCCAGGCTGGTAGGCAAACTGAAGTGGGTCCAGTGATGAGCTTATTAGGCGCCGAAGCTGAGCCAGGACCAACCGCTCCAGGGTCTTCATCAGGTGGGATGTCAGAGCCACCGGCCTGTAGCTGTTGAGGTCCTTGGGGCGTGAAGTCTTTGGCACTGGTACAACACAGGAGGTTTTCCAGAGCTGTGGGACTCTTCCCAACCTCAGGCTCAGGTTGAAGAGGTGCTCCATCACCCCACACAGTTGGTCCGCGCAGGACCTGACGACCCTCGAGCTGATGCCATCTGGGCCCGCTGCCTTCTTGCCATTAATCCTCCTCAGTTCCCTCCTAACCTGGGTGGTTGAGAGAGACAGGCTGGAGCCTTGTGTTGAGTGTGTATTGGATGCTGTTGTTGGGGGTGGGGAGGAGTGAGCAGGGTGCAACCCAACTCTCACTCTGTTGGATCTTAAAAGCTGAATATCCAGGTGCAAACCTGTGTTTCCATGGAGGGAACATAGGCTTGCACTTTCACACCTGTTGAGCATCAACTCATTGTGCTGTGTATTTAAGGGCCAACTGTGGC